CGTGAATCAGTTGATGGGCTGCTGAATAAATAATGAAAAGATAAGAGATGACTAAGGGAATGATCGTTTAGCTAGATCGTTTGCTTGTCAAATCCTAAACTCATCCATTTGAACGCATGGAGAAACTCTACCCATATCTGGGTGTTCAGTTCATCTCTCTCACATCGGCCGTAATACGGCTAAACAAGCCATAAACCAAATGACAAACGATGACATCGTAAATTTCAAACTACCAAAGCAGAACATGACCAACAACAAGCTGGCTTTTCGAAAACTTATCAAAACATTTAGGTAAAATAAACGCCCCACAATAAAAACTTAAGCAAGCTGGAGAAAAGTTCAGATAATCAGCGGCAACGGGGCGACAACGGCGATAAAAAATGAATGCGGAACAACTTTCTTAATGAGCTGCCAAAGGCGGTCAGACTCTGCCTCCCTCCAACTGAAAAACTAAATCAAATTTGAATAAGAAATGGTCCCGCTCGACATAAAAACCAAATCGAATAGCCCTCTTCGATTGGACAACAATGCCGAACTGTGATCAAGTGATTTGGGCCTTTGGCCCTGTGTTGTCGTCTAATCTCGAGAAGATCTGTGGGCGGCTGCTGTGCGGCCATAAAACGATTACCTGGCAGCCAGGGGGAAACGGGCCCCAATCTGGGTCGATGGGATAAAGAAATTGTAATTAATTAAATTTATGCGACATGTTTACAGTTTTCCCATTGTTTGCCCCACACATTTACATAATTTTCCATAGTCTGACTCGCATGGAGAATCAAAATCACATGTTGTGTCTTCAAGACGAGCTAGTTCTTTTTAATTCGGGCTCTAACAAAGCACTTTATGGGCAGCTCTTGAAACTCCTATATTTAGAACCCTAGGTGAGTGGTGTGAGCCTTAACAATCGATAAGTTATTTATCAAAGGGCCATTTTGACAATTCTTGGTATAATCTTTTTGCTTAAAAGCACTTTCAAAGTTTAACTGTTTGTCCTCAAACTTAATGAAAATGTGTTTCGGCGATTTTCGAAATTCCACCCGCGCCAGTCGTAAGTTGGTGGAAAACGGTTGCATGAAAGTCATTCAATTCGTGTATCAGCAATTCTGCTGATAGATATACATACAACCCCTGCACTTTTGGTGCTCCTTGATTGTTATAACCAATATTGACGCCGCTCTGGGTATCTTAAAACTTAATTTATTAACTTATATTTACATTGCTTACATATAGAAAAATAAGCAATAATAGTTTAAACTATGGTCGGAAATTAGGTCGTAAATTTCTCCTTCAATTTGAGGAACTTGGCTGGCTTTCAAAACATCAACAGATTCTGTTTTCTAAAAAAAATTGAGATACAGTGCAGCACCTGCCTATGTTCAGGATCTGAATAAAGAACGAACACCATGATGTGTTCTTTATTTAATGGTATTTATTTGACAGCTTTCAAGTATTTCGGCTTCAGATTTAATATGTATTGCTGCACTGTCTTCCTTTAGTAACTGTGCAGCTTGAAGTTACCAGCTTAGCATCTTAGCATCAATATCTTACTTTACCCAGACATTCGTCCTATATTTCATATGCATATGAACACAGGCTAAAGCCAAAAGGGCCCAAAATAACAAAGCAAATGCATCATTCAAAATCAGTTTGACGTATTGAACTGCAGGTAGCCATAGGACGGGAACTGGGAACTGGGAGCTGGGAGCTGGGAGCAGGGAGCATGAAGCAGGGAGCAAGGGGGTTATAACATGAAAGAGATTGCAGGTTAGCAGAAAGAAAACCGTCTGCATTATTGAAACCTTCGCTTGGCTGCTTCGCTGATTGGCTGCTGGGCCAGCACTGCAGGTGATTTTGCTAACAAATGCGATGGGGTCATTCTCGAGGTCCAAATGACGAAACCACAAAAGAGAGAAAACAAATATTACGGGCCAATAAATTTCAATACACACATCTGAATACACGGATACGAAAATGCATATATTAATATAAATATACATGCATCTGTTCTCGGTTTTAAACGAAGATAAATGAAAGGGCTTAGATTACTCGATAGTTAGAAGGTAGATGTTTAAGGCAATAATTTCGAATGCGTAATTTTGAAGATATTTTGAATTTATTTGATTCTTTGCTCATTTATTAAAAAAAACATTTGTTAAGACACTGCGAAAAATATAAACACCCTGAAGGTATTAACACTTGGATACTTAAGCCCTTGGAAAAAAACTCATTGTACTTAGCGAAAGATAAATGTTTGCTGGATTATGTTACCGATTTTAGTTGATAGTTGTCGACTGAGCAATACAGCTAAACATTGTGTTAGTTTCTATATAAGACTTCTAAAGCAGTAGATGCATCCATTTAATAAACAAGGATAAATATGTCTGCCCTCTGCTAAAATTTTCCTGATCGCGATTGATTAAACAAAACTCCCTCCACTTCTTTGTAGATCTTAGAGCTAGAGCTTTGTGAATATATTTTATTTATATGGATGATAGATTAGTTATCTTATATCTATTATATAATTACATTTATATATAAAGTTAAGATTTTCAATTGGTCTTGCTTAAGCAACTCAATTAGAGTCCTGTTCAAAGTCAGAAGATGCAGGGCTGCCTCTGCGAGTGTCAGTTGAGTTGTGTGTGGGTTCAGCTTTCAGCACATCTGCTCCAATTGTGTGGCATGGTGGTCGCCATGTGTAGGCATACCCATGTAGCCAGATCCAGACCGCAGTCAAATCAAAAGAAGTGACAAATGAACTGTCAAAATAATGCAAGTGACGACGCGAATGACGACACATGTGCTGCTGGGTGCGGCCTGGTTCTATACCAGTTGCGGGCTCTGCATACATTCGGTCGTAGATCTGGAGCTCAACTATCAACTGTTGACAGCTGAGACTAAGACACAGGCAACGACAGTTTGGTGGCAGAGATAACCACAAGCAATTTGTGGTACATTTGCAATGCCCACGAACTATGAACTTGGTTGAGGTTTGAACAAATTACAAACACACTTAATTACATTCATCCTGTGAGCCGCAGATAACAAAGATTGAAGCACAGAGCAGCCCAATGGTCATTGGTCCGATTGAAATCTCTCAATCGATAGCTGCAGCAGGTAAAGGTACAGGTAGAAGCTCGTTAGGCTGCGCTGTCGAAACTCAATACGAGAGCAAAGCAAAACAAATCCAGAGAAGCGGGAGCACACAGAGATGAAGCTGCAGGTGAAGGAGGGGGCCTAACGATGGGCACTGTTCGGAGCGATGTTTATCGGCAGCCTGGCCTGGGCCTGGGGTAGGCAGTCAATGCAAGACAGCCCGAAGAAAAGGGTTCATTATAGACCTTTATGGCCTAACCCTAAGCAGGCGGCGCACGTAGTCGACCCAAGACGAGAGCCCGCTGTGTGCCATTGCTTATCGTGTAAGTATGCGTGTGTGTGTGTGCGAGTGCGATTGCCTTGTTGTGATAATGCGAGACACACGGGACGAGAGCAGAGAGCAATCAATTAAAAAGGCAGCAGCAGCCCGGGCAGAGCACCTTTTTTATGGTCGACTGCTCTGGGCCTGGCGAAAAGTTCACTGGAATCCAAGTCGAGCTGTAATGAAGCAATATTTACGGGAGATTTCAAGGCAGCGATTGCACACAAACGTTGGATTGTGTTTGGGTATGCGTTCATATTCTTCGCAGCCATCCAAATCGTTTGTCTTATCGCGTCATGTAGGGCACAGACGAGTGCAAACAGCCGGGCCAGCTGATAAGGGCAACTGCGCAGGCTGTGATTTATGGCAAGTGCAACAATTGTCCAGCTACCGATGCGTTTATCGATAATATTTACAGGCACCCCGAAACTATTCAACACCTTCCCACTTTTAATTCGCTGCCAACAATGTGGTACAGTTGCCCCTCTTTTCACGGAGCTACCAGCTATTTTAAATGCCAGCATTCCGTGGGAAAAGAAAAGCCCTGACAAGGTCGATGGCTATCTAATTTCAGATTTCCTTCTGCAACGCGACACGAATTATGCAAATTACCTTTGAGGCGTTTATCAAAAACGCGTAGCACTTACATTAATCATCTATTAGATGGTAACCACGTCATGCATATGTAAGAATCTGTTTAAAAACAAAAAGAAACGCTTGCCGGGCTTTATGGCGGTTGTCGCTGGCGCCAAGTGACATTTTGTAGTTGATTTATTGTTTTGGCTTGTGTGGAAAATATTATAAAAATGATTTATAATCCTTATCTGCGCAGCCAGATCGTGTGTGCTCTTGTCAGGACCGGGGCCACGACAGATAGCCATGGGAGAGCAACGCAACAGTTACCAGAGGGATAAGCTAACTGCACAGGTAGAGCTAGAGGCTGTTGTCCCTTACCAATGCCCAGCTCTTAAAATCACACACCACTTACCCCTAGCCCCTTGCCCATTTCCATTTCCATTTCCAATTTCAACTAGTGGAAAACCGTTCAAAGACAAAACCATTGTTTCTTATTGCTAAAACTTTCACGGCAACTTCTCCTAGACAGGCCGGGCCGGGCCGACGCCCTAGAGGCGCAAACGTGGAGCATATTTCTGTCTGGCATGCGATTATCGGCTTTATGGGAGAGGAACTGGGAGTCCAATGCAAAATGTGTGTCAAAGTTCAGGCATAGGAAACGTGAAAGGAAAACCAGGCAAAGCGAGACGGCCACGGGGATATCTCCTGGTTCGCTGTGAGTTATGACCGCGGCAAGCAAATAATTGCAAAATTACAGCCCAGCCATGTTCCACCTTAACTCCCCCTCTTGTCAAACTGACCAACTCGGTCGAAAACTCGGTTCGCCTTCAATTGGCAACCGATAATACTAGACGGCAAAAATTTGATTTACAAAGGCTTCCAAATAATGTATTATGGTTTGATTCAATCAATTGATTAAAAAAACACAAATCAGACGATGCTTTTATGAAGATGAAATTATTATTTGTGCAAAAATACTTTTAATTAGGAAATAAAAAAAGCTTTGCCGTTGATTTCAATTCATGTTATTTGCAGAATTAAATATTAAATAATTGACTTGAATTACATTTAATATGAATATGGAAAGATCTCTAGTGCATAATGTTTTGAATAAAAAGTAATTTATGTTGCGTAGTGTAATTTGTAATGTCGACGTTTGGGGCAGTTCAATAGGAAAATGCCTACAAATTGTTGCTGGCTGGTCAACTAGGTTCAGCTGGTGAGGGGCATAGGAGTGGATTGACTTTTAGTTGATGGCATGAACGAAGATGGAGCATGCTTTCAGCATAAATTTCCATTAGATGTGGCAACGACAACAACAACAACGACAGCAAGTTGCATGTGGTATGGAAAGTTGCCACAGGAAATATCTTTCGGCAGCCGCAAATAATTCTCCACGTTTGCGCTCGCACTTTGACATCTGGCCAGGGGGCTGGCACTGGTACTGGGAGACTTCGTGTCGAGCTGAGATATTATAATATTTGTCTCTTTGTTGACATTAAAACGCAATTTATGCAGCGTCATTATTATCAGTCGTCGTTTGAGCTACAGTGCAAGTCGAACTTCGCGTTGAATCTCTGCCTGTGCCTCAGCCTGTGCCTCTGCCTGCGCCTTGTGGCATGCAACTTTGTGAATTTTTATGCAGCGGTTTTAGTGGTTCCCATCTGCCGACTGCATCCTCGATGCGTGCCCACATATCGATCTTCGTTAATGTTCAACATTTGACTTTAACGACTCTTACATCTTAATTAATAGCATATTGTCTCTCGAGCTGTCGATGTTTCCGACAGGAAGCGATCTACGAAAGGCTTAAGATTCATTTCACTGTAATCAATTATCATTCTTAATGGATAAAAAAATGAAAATTTCTAGCCAAAGTATTACTGAACTTGAACAGCAGTTGGTAAGTTGACCATTTACCAATTTTCATTTCCAAGAACACACCAGAATATGTCGTATGCCGAATCTCAGCCTTCAACAAGCATAAAACATAACAACAATGATATCTTTCAAGGCGTAACCCAGTCAATGATTACCTCTTGGAATTGCTGCAAGCTGGAAATGTGCCTAAGACAAATGCAACATTTCAGGGGCATGACTGTGTAGAAAGTGTCACGCTGTCTTTACGAAGGTTTCCTCAAATATTTATATTTACCGATGCTCAGGTAGTTGCCGACCCCTCGACAATGAGCCGCAAAGGTGATTAGGTCAAAACAAAGCGTGTGGAAAATGGATTAGATAGGGTCTAATTGAGGTCAAGCGGCTGTCAAGCGACTGTGGAAATTTAAATAGCCCAAGGCGGAAAATTCAATCAATGCTTCCAATTGAATGAGTTCGATTTATTGCATTACTCGTTTACGTGTGAACAAGAAGCTGCACTCAAAATATCAACAAATAATTCAAAAGCTGAAAAAGAAAAATTTTAAAAATAAAATAAGAGAAAAGTTATAAAAATGATTAAAAATTCATTTCATTATATGTGCATACGACTTACTGCATTTTGAAATCCAGGCTTTTGGTAGCAGTACTTGAGAACAAACACATAACCAGAATAAATTAACCTTTTGCATATTCAAAACAATTTCTGACTTCAGAGGATGGGCAATTCGAATTATGTTATTTGCAATTGGAAGGTCTTGTTGCTGTTGACCTCTGCTCTAATCCTGGCATTGTGACCGTTCCATCCAGACCGCAGCAGCAATCAAAAGTTTTAATGTAACTGCAGTCAGGCTTGAAATTGAAGGCAAAACAATGCAACACGAGAAACTATGGACGAAAAATGCGGCCAGCTGAATGAGAATGCAAAAATGCTGGCCACAAAATTGCACCAATTGCAGTTGATTAAGCCGAAGCCGAGGCTGAGGCTGTGACTGAGGTTGGGGCCAACAGAGTGCACAGCGAGCACCGCAAACAATAAATTCTCGGCTGAGGCTGAGCAGGGTGAGAGGCCTAAGCGCCACAAAAGTTTAGCCAACAATAATTTCGAGTTAACTTTGACACTTGCAAAACGGGGCAGGCAACAGGCGGACGGACGGAACAGGACATAACAGAACAGGACCCCCCGCCAGGCAGGATGCCGAGACCCGCCCAGGCTGAGGGAGCTGCTGCTGCTGAGGCAAGAGGCTTTGCTGCATTACGTTGGCGTTGGCTTACTGCAAATGCAGTTGTCATAATTTTGCATTTCTCTGGAAACTGCTGCTGCTGCCGGTTCTGCTGTTGTTGCTGCTGCTGCTGCTGCTGTGGCTGGTGGCCGGTGCGGCACTTTGCCGTACAATTTGTACGGCCGGCGGCGGCCTGCTGTGACTTGTGCCAAGTTGTTTGGCTTTTGTTGCTTTTAGCTCTTGGCGCAGAGTAAATGCAGAATGCAAGCAAGTTATTGCTGGGTGACAGACGACCAGTTTTGTGATTCGAGTCCGCAGGTGCCAATTCATCTGCCCTGCCCCAGCCCCTGCGGCAAATCGCTGGCCACTTGCAGCCTGAGCCCATTAGGTGCCAGCTTTAAGCGCCATCAGTACATCCTCTTCCCATGATAGCCCATTGAAAAGTGGGTCAAATCATAGCGTGACAGCTGCAGCGTTCACTAAATAGCCACTGCCCAGGGGGCATGAACACGGTCTCTGTGGCCGCCAAGCCAGGCTGGACACAAATCCTGACGCAGCAGCTGAAAAACAATTTTCTACGGGTATGTTAAACATCTCGTCGGGGACATGAGCTGACAACGACACCCAAGCGAAGAAGCACAGCGCAGCACAGCACAGTACAACAGAGCACAGCACAGCTACCAGCTCATGCCCAGCCAAGCGACTGTCCACATTCAGAGACGACTCAGCCAAACCAAGAGCAACGACACGGCTGCTGCACCACTTGGGTGAGGCCCATCTTTAATACACTGTGAAATATCGGCAGTTGATAACTTATGTTAATTATGTATTTATTTTATTTACGTAGTTAATCGGCTTGAAAGTTATATAATTATAATTTTTGTTCTAGGCAATTGTGTTTTTCGTAAAATTCCACTCCATTAAGACTTTCATAAAAGGCCTTAGATTTAGTCTATGAAATTCGCGCTTTTTAAGTACAATTTAATCTATTGCTTTTTTCATAAAAAAAGTGTTCCAACTTTAAGCACATAATAGACAGCATTTAGGTCAATTATAGTCATAGAGGTTAGACGTAAAGTTAATACTTAGGTTAAATATTTGCAATAACTTAAAAAGCGGCTTTGCAGTAAAAACTGAGAATATTGATTTACATACTCCAAACTGTTGGGACAGTTTTTTTTCAGTGCATGTGCAGCACAACAGAAATGACGTAGCACATTTCAAACGGCAATAGCAAGTTTTTTTGTGCTGCTTTCGCAGTTGTTGTTGCTGCTGCTGCTGCATGAGGTTGGTGCAGCAACTGCGACAAGCTGATGCTGATGCAGCAACAGCGGCAGCCGCCACGGCAGCGAAATGCAAACAAGTATGTCAAAAATCTGCATGTCTGCCACCACTTGCTGCCTCACAACCAGCAGCAACAGCAACAGCAGCAGCAGCAGTTTGCAACAGCTACAAACAGCAACAACAACGGCGACACGAAATCGCCTTTTTAATTTATTGCACAAGTGCTTTAAAAGCCACAGCAACGGCGGCAGCAACAGCAACAGCAAGAACAGCCCACGCCAAACAGCCTCCCCTCCTCCACAGCCACTCCCACTCCCACTCCACTCCCGATCCCGATCCCGATCCCAGCTCCGAGTTGAACTTCAACTCCAACTCCTTCCTCTCGAGTGAAGCCTCACAGTTAGCAGCAGGAGGCAAAATACGACTTGCTTGGTTATTAAATTACATCAACGGCCGCACAAAAGTGAAAAAGACACAAAATTATATTACTCGAAAAAATGAAGGAAACGCCAGAGACGTAGGGGGAGAGCAACAGATTTCTCGTCTCCTCATTTCCACAGAAATTATTTGCATAAGTAACGCGATACGCAATACAAATGTGACTTGTGGCCACAGCCCACAGTCCACAGTCTCCAGTCTGGCCAACTGGCTGGCTCAATGATGATGCCTCCAAAACACGATCGCCCGAGCCATTATAGCCATTATGGCAACGAGGCAATGCGTCATGCACGCACAGCATGCTGCATGACAGCCTCCACGAGGGAGGCGAGGACCGACCAGACGGAGCCGCAGCGTCACAGATTAGTAGGAGAAGCGGCCATCCAAGATGGAGCCCACGCAACGAAATGGCAAACGAGACGGATTCATAGAGAGAGAGACTTACTCGTGTGGAATTTCGTGCCCGCTCAACTAGTCGCAACGTCGGGGATTACCAAAGACGTTTTAGTACAGTTTGTGAGGTGTCAACTTTGTTGGAACTCAGATAAAGAATTAGAAAAATTAAAACCTAATACAATTGACAGAATATATGATATATTATGTTTTCATATATAATTTAATTTAACTTAACACTAAATTTCAATAAAAGATAAGCTAGCATGTACTATATTTAGTACTCCTATGAGCGGAAGTTACCCGGCCTTGCCAGGCTCATGGCTGATCTCATACAATTCAAGACATTACCTTTCAACCATCTCTCGACAGTGTAAACTTTCAATCCATTAAAACTACCTTAACTCCCGCTATGTAGATAATTTGAGTTGGCAATCGATAGAAGACAAGTTCTCCGCCCATTTTTCCCTTGGCCTCACAATTCAAAAAGTATAAAGTACGTCTTCAGTTTGACCGGATCTAATGATAGGCGAGTTTATTTTATATACCCGCTTTACCATTTTTTCAGCAATTCTTAATGATTCTAAGTCACTCCGGACAACTAAGTAGTTTATCTTCAAGCAGTTGCTTGAAATGTGTTTTAAAAGGCTTTTATCTAAATTTAAATATATTAATGTTGTTTGTAAAATATTCTATGAAATTGAATGCATAGTACAACTTAATTTGTATTTCTTCATTTGCTAATACAAAATTAATATTTGCTTTAATTTTTCAAAGGTGAGCAATCCCGTAACTAACTCATTGGGTCAGTGGCATCAAGCATGCTCCAGCTGTCCAGTCATCAAAAGGTCTTCAACTTCACCAAACAAATACGGAAAAACATTTTGCGCTTTGACAAGAATTTGCTTTAGATTTGAATCGCATTGGCGGAAATGCCCTGTCTCCCTTATGTGGGACTTATCATAATTAAAAATCAGCAGCAACTGGCCAAGTTCATGCTGTGCAGTATAATACAAAAAGTTATGTTCGCATGTTGAACAGTGTCACAAGCCACTCTCTGTGCTCTCTGTGGACCTTGTGAATCTCTAAAATCTATGCGCATAATTTGCCAGCTGCTGCAGAGCTGCAGCTAGGCCGAGGAGTTTCCTGATTTGCTCTGACAGCCAACTGACAGAAATTGATTAAAAAACCATTGCAAGGCGTTGCACTAGTGGGCCTGCCTACAAATCAGCCCAAAAGAATATCACGTGCATAGATTTAGCTCCAGCAAAGGTTTTTCAATGCAAATGAAGCTACGTGGGCTCTGATTTGCATGGCCACCGAGTTTTCCTTTCGAGATGGACGCGTGATACTAGCGTGACTTTCGAATGGGCTCAACAAACTGCTGTTAATCAAAAGCATTTGTTTTAGCTAGTCCACCTCACAACTTGATATTTAACGGTTGCCTAATCCCATAAGGTATATGTATTGTTGATCGGATACGAATCAATTTCAAAACTTTGTTTTAAGCAAAACTCAAAAGATCAAGGATAACACATAGGCTAGGGGCATAGGCTTTCGTTTAGTGTACACGGATTGGAAATATTTCACTTTTAAGGTACCACCAAAACTGAAAAAAACAAATAATAATTTGTAAAGGAAGAGGGCGGGATCCATTTGAATGCCATATGTATGCCCTTATCATTTCATAAAGCTCGAACATGAAGGTCAACATGAAATTACTAATAGTAATAATCTGTGACCAAGGCGGACAAAATCACGTAACCATGTCAATGCGAATTTCGTGCATTTTTGCCAGTTATTTTTGGTAAGGGTACATTTTGGGCCGGCCTTGCACACACACTTACACAAGCTTGCATATGGCTACAACCATTTATGCGATTGTGTGCCTGTTTTTTGCCTGCCTATTGGAAATCTAGAGATATCCTATAAATGTACATACCTTAATTTATTCATAAATTTTCTGTCGGTGGTCTCAATTCTTACAAATCGCAATCAAAACAGGGAATAAATATAACTAAATCACGGAATCCAGGTTCAAATCCCAGACAATTATATGATTGTAGATTTGTTATAACTGGAGTCTTGGAAGATAGTGCTGTTTAAAACGAAGATTGAAAGTTTTCAGAATAATAATAATAATAATAATAATAATAATAATAATAATAATAATAATAATAATAATAATAATAATAATAAAAATAATAATAAAAATTCAAATTATAATTATCTATTAATAGTATGACCTTATGACTATATGTGTATAAGATCAATTTGAAATGGATTGAATTATCTGTAATCTATTTTGTGAGAACATTTCAATAGTCAGACACATGTGTATGGGAGTGTGCGTGTGTGTCTAGGGGTTCAAAATAGTTGCAAGTGACCTCCACAAGGTGTTCAGCAACCCGCCACCGAGTGGCGAGGCTAATTTGCATGCAAATGCCAAAACGCGTTGCACCTGCAACATTTGCATAAGCAGACCTATAGATATTGATGGTTCGGCATAGATACATAGATGTAGCTGGTCAGCTGGCCGCATAGCGGAGAGCGCGGAAGAGGGGGCTGGCTGGGTGCAAGTGTTTTCTCAGCAACATGCTAATCAATAGGCCACACGAGTGCCAATAATTATTTTGCAATAAAATTCAGTTAGCTCTCTTGAGTGCTGCTCCATCGTGATGCCAACTGGATTCTCGAGTATCGTTCTCGTTCTCTCCGCACAATTTCCAATGGCTTTTGGGAGCCAAGTTTGCATACGGAATTAGTTTGCCATGTTTGGCGCTGTTGCAGTTGCAGCCAAGTTTATGCTAAATAAGCCAATGCCACGCCCACAGCCTACCACTGCACTCAGCTATTGCTGCCCACGGTAGAAGTGATTTCTAGCCGAGACGCAGCTGCTGAAAACTTTCAAGTCGATAAAGGCAACTGCTTATGGAAGGGGAGGAGGCGGGCAAGACGATTTCAACTGCATTTTTTACTAGAATATTTTTCTGTATTTATTTTATTTCTTTTGGGGGTACTGCTACCAATTCTTACAGTTCTCCTGAGTTCGCCTGAGTATATCTCTTCACTACTTTTGTAATTTTTTTTTTAATATGTTTAGTAAACTTCATGTTATAGCCCCGCTCCTCCTGCTCGCGTACTGTCAGCCTGGTACAGACAATTTTCCGCGCTGCCATAAAAACTCAAAAGTTTGTGCAATGTGCGCAGTTTATTTCCGTTGCAAATACCTTGGATTTGTTGCTGCAGCCAATCCAGGCGAGGATGAGCGGACTGTCTAAGTCATCCTGGACCGCAGCTGCTGACGTCTGATGTTGTCGGCTGCTTTTGTCAACACTTTGCCCGTTGATGGCTGACAGCTGTATATATAGTTAGTATATACTTAGTTGGCTATTTCACTCCCCACTGGGCTAAGGCGGGAACTAAGCAGCAGCTTTTTCTATTATACGAGTACAAGTAATTTGGTTTAGTCGCTATAAAAGGCGCTGAAGTGACTCAGATGACAAGACGTGTTTGCTTTAGATGAAAGCTACTGAAAACTTAAATAGATTTTTTAAAATTATAATCGCTCAAAGTAAGGTTTTAATTTGTCATTTATCATTTTTCAAGCTACTGTTTGAGTGTATTCGGATAGAGGAGTTTATATTTTGTATGCCGACCTTCATTAATTGACATTTTTACTGTATTTTAGCCAAGTAACAACCCTGGATAATGACAATTTCCATTAACGCACGATCCACTCTCGTGCACGTCAAAAGGGTAAGCGCTTTTCCATAATTGCATCATTTATCAAACGGAGCCAGTAAGCAAATGAAAGTCTCAACTGAAAAGCAGCGTACATTTTTGGCTCATTAATTTAAAGCTGGAACCGTCTACCCCCGGCTCCGAGCCAGACCCTTTCCAAATCCGAAAATTATAATCGACATTAATCAACAACAGATTATCGATAAGTGCGTTTAGGCCACGTTTAACAGTGCCTGCGCCTGCCCTGAACCTCTGTCAGCGGCTGTTCGGCGTGGAGGCTGCGTGTTTACCTTTGGAGTCGCCTAATTGATTACGCCCCAAAGTCGAGTCGCCAGCTTTATCATCGTCATCTTTATGATCATCCGCAGTAGCAGCACCTTTTCGGCTCCATAATCCTGTTGTTACCCTTCACCGCCGGCGATGTCTGGCCAAAACCTCGACTCCATAAGCATATGCAGCGAGGTATTCCCCTGAGGGGGGCAAGCTCCCCAGTGATTATTCCGACTGTGATTTTTATTGCTGGCTGGCTTTTGATGTTCTCGTTCTCAAACATATTTTATTTTCATATTTTATTTACATTTACATTTTAATATGAAAATATTCAATGCATATTTGCATTTGATTTGGGAATTAGTTTTCCAAAAATAGGAAAACACACAGATTTTATCGCAGTTTATTACAGATTTCTTATCGGTTTGGGAAATGTCATCTTGATTTTGTTGTTTACTCTTTGGCTTGGTCGGAATCTGGTTGGCTCTGGTTTATTTATTCAGCAAGCATCCGAAAAATTCATTTCTTTCCGACTCATCGGCCATCCTTTTGAAACTCTATCAATGTGCGGACCAACTAATTCTCGTAAACGCTTTACTCGTCCTCGCTCGGCTTGACCCACAAATCCAAGCCCAAGCCCAAAACAAACAAACATAAATCTCCAAGAAACACACAAACACACATAAGTTAAATGGAATAAAAACTGAAACTGAGCGGGTCTTAAATTTAAAAGCAATCTGCCAGGCAGTCGCCCTTTATCCAGCTTCTACTCGAAATCCTGCTCCTGCTGCTGCTGCCAGTCCCTTTGTTCTTGTTACTGTTGTGTGTGGCCTTTGGCCAATTTTCTTATTAAAAACAACAGAGTCGAAAATGTTTACCAAACACAATTCCCAGCAAATCCTGCGCTGTGCTGCTCGCTGGCCTAAACTGTAAATAGAGCGGCCAGTGAAAGTGTGGACAGCCCACACAAGAGAGAGAGAAGGAGCAACATAGAGGGAGATAGAGGGAGAGAGAGAGAGGGAACACAAGTCCTTGCACCACATGCTGAGCCTGTGTCCGCACTGGACTATGTGCCCTGGTGTCGCTGGCAGAATGTTCCCTAACCCGGATCCATTGTCTGACCATCGAAACCCCCCCACGAAAGGAAATCGTTGTGTACGAAGCAGGCCGAAAAAAACCGGCATTGCTAAACCCATTAAATGTGACTCGCAAAAGGATGGCGAAAAAACCAATACAAGTGGAAAGTGAAAATTCGAAATTTGATCAACTAAAAGATATCTTAGCTAACGTGCTATCCATATCTTGTGCCAAGGTACTTAGAATCGAGGACTAAGAATACCCCTCTGTACGGACAGCGAGGTATATGGCTGGATAATGGATACATAACAACATCCTATTTGCTAGCCTTGCACTATTCTTTGTGTATCCTTTGCGCTGACTTTCACTTTCCTTCACAGCGAAGTTTTATTGTCTGCTGCTTGACACCCGGTGCTGGGGCTGGGCATAAATATTTGGACATGCGACTGATTAGTGCGACCAATGGAACCAATGGGCAAACCAATTTGCTGCCAGCTACCGAGACTTTAATCGAAAATTGAATGGCATCTTCGGTCTTCGGATTGGTTGTCCTGTCTGCAAACAACAACTAGGAGCACAAACATCAATCAGGCCTCGAGTTTTTTTGTTAAGCAACTTTGTAGGTAGCGGAGTCGGAGGCGACATCGTCTTGAGCATTCTTTTGGACACACGCCAAGTGCATAGCATTCGCTCCCAGCTCCTCCATTTACCTTTTGGCTCCCACATGATTTACTACAACATTTTGCGCTCTTCTTTTGGCTCACACACCGCTCAGCTCCTGGTAGCTGCTGCTGCCATGTTTGACTTGATTTCGTCTAAATTGAGTTCAGTATCAACAGAAAATACTTCCGTTTCCTTCCCTGTCAGTCTGTCAGTGTCTCGTCTGTTGCCTCGCCCCTCTATCTATCTCTCACTCGCCGGGCTCTTCCTCCATTTAGTCTGTTGTGTACCTTTGCTTGATTTTGCGTTCTATTTTCAAACTACCAAAGTAACCCATCTCCATTCCTCTTCCCATCCACAAACTTTTAACTCCAGTTGTGTGTGTGTGTGTGTGTGTGAGTGTGCGTGAGTTGGTGTTGGTGTTGGACTGTGTATTTACTTTGGCAGCACCTCATTCTCGTCCCAGCTACGCTTCTGATTCAGGGGCTGCCTCTGGTCCTGGTATCGCCTTCATCGTCGTCCTCGTCGTCGTCGTCGGTGAGGTGTTTGCTTTATTTTGAATGCTTTTTATGTTCAATTTGTTTCAATTTAATGTTGTTTTGCCAGAGATCAGCCAGGACGCGTTATATTTTGCATGCATTTCAGATGTGCGCACCTTGTATGATAAATGGCATTAAAGGATTTGCGTGAATAAGAAACTCGAAGCTTACATTGCATAGTTGCCAAGGCGAAGGCAGCTTGGCCAAGTTCCCAGGTTAAGTTGCAACTTGCTGCCAGCTTTTCTCTTAGATTATGGTATGGAAGTAATGCTCTGAGGAATAGCTTTTCGTTAATACGTAGCTCGTCTTTTTGCCTTGTTAGAATTGCCAATAAAATAAACACAAATAAAAGGTCCTTTACAGAATTGAATGAATGTCCTCACAAATGGACAGACTCAAGAAAATAGTACATTAATAACTAAATCTTTATCGTTTCAATATATTCTACCATGTCACATACGTTGCGTTGTTTTATAATTTTAATTTTAATATTTAAAAAAAGCGCCCGCCTCAGAGAAAGTGGTTAGATTTGTTGGCTACCTGGGAAGATATATGTATATTTTCATTATATAAGTTGACTTTTTATTCGGAATTAAGTTTTCTCAATTCGTTGGAATTGCGGCGCCAAGTTAATCAAACAGGTAGACATTTTCCAAGTAAATGCCTCGAACATTTTCCATTATTATTAACAATACTCCACAAAAAAAGCTGCAAGTAAATATTGATTTGAGCAAAGCCAAATTTATGCGCCGAATGCGACTATTTCGAATGAAACATTAAAATTCCATTAGCGGATGCGTTGTACATAACTTTGTGCCCCCTGCCCCCGACCGCACAGACTCGCGATGGGGGCCTATCGCCGGGCCGGGCAAATGACCAGAAATTATGCATTTTGTTTGGCTTTAATTGCAGCGCATTGTATTTATTTAGTTTGGGCGTCGGGTTGGGGCTGGACTCGTTGGGGTGGGGAGGTTTTACTTCAGTTCACTCAGCTCGCGATAATCAAAAATAATTTATAGAAAATAAATATTTCCACACAATGCGCCGCCCTCGACGATGGGAAAACAACTTGAACTGCTCCGTTTCCCTTCCTGGCATTGTGCAGTTGTTTATTTAAGTTGTCATTAGAATGCTGCAGCAGCTCCATCTACAGCTACAGCAGCTCTGGCACTGGATTCATGTATAGGCTGCGGCAGCCAGTCGACGGCATATAAACTTTTCAAATTATCACCGAGGCGCACAACGAGTGCACGGGGGCCGGCCCGGGGCGGTGCGTCCTATTGGTGCGCGTTCAACTGGCTGCCACTTGAGAAGCTGGCGGCGTACGTGGAAATCGCATGACCATGTGAAATGGAAATGGAGCCCCAGCCGAGCTCCCTGCCATACCCCCGTTCTCTGCCCTGACAGTGGCTCTCAGCTCGTCAGTGTGTTCCATGGAAATTTAAGCAGCGCAAGGAAAGTTCCTCGGTCGTTCTGGGCGCCAACCGTCAGACAGCCGGAAATACAAGAAGGGAATTTTTCTTACCCGATTGAACTGTTTATTGGGCATGTTTGGGAAATGTTGCAAATATGGTAAGAACTAACTTAGCACAAGTCCGCAAGTCAAAAAGCGGACAAATGTGTATATAACACATGTTTTATACATATACATAAATATATGTGCATATATGGTACACATATTGGATGTGTAAACTGTATAAGCTAGATATCAAGATGCGAACGAGTGCAGCTGTCGGATTTACTTCCTCATAAAGATATAATACCCTGGCCATATATCAGTGGGCATTATCAAGTAATAAGTATAAACAAACTATGTGCTTAAGCAAACTGTTTACAATGGCTGCTGTTCTGACTGGAATACCTCGTATATCACATGGCCGCCTTGGTTCCTTGAGGGCAAGTCAAAAGCAACAGGCAACAGGCAACCGGCAACGGTAAACGTAACTTTAAAGCCGCTTACGGCTATAACCAAATGCCATGGTAAACGAAGCAGGTCAAGTCACAAACACAAGGATTATCGTAAGGCAGGAAGGCAACGACAATGGCAACGGCAACTGAGACAGCAGGTGCCGCCTCCCTGCCAGAAACAACACTAACAATAACAAGATCTCGAAATGTGGGAGAGAGAGGGGGAGAGAGCTGTGCGAAACACAATGGCCAACACGAAAGGCAATGGCAAAAGCGATTCTGTCAAAATATTTACGATATGGCTCTGGCAATGGCTGTTAAAGTGTAAGGACACACACAAGGACACATGGACACATGGACATGTGTTTTCGACCCGCACACACACACGCTCAGATTGCCTCACCTACTTAGCGCACTTTTCGCAGTTTTCACATTAGATATGTATGGACGCGCTCATCTTGGCCTCCTACATGTGCCATTATCCTACGTGTGTGTGTGTGTGTGTGTGTGGCCAAGGACACAAGCCGCAGGCAAAATTGATTTGTCTTCCCGCCTGACGTAGGCGCTACCACCCAACACTTTCGGAGCCAGCCTATATGGTCTTGCTGTCTGCACGGCCCAAACATTGTCATGTAAAATTAAAATTTATGGCTAATTTGTGTGACCGAAGCGTTTTTCTTTCTTCTCATCTGGCAATCTCTTGGTATTTGGTATTTGGGTTCCGCCTTTTCCTATTCCCAATTTCCAGGCACTGTTCAGTCAGGGTCAGGCCATTAATTTCCGCAATGCCAGGGAGTTTTTCACTGGAATATGGAATGAAGGTGACTCAGCTTTAATGGGCTTAACGGGAATAATACCCTGTTTATTGTTGATCCGTAAGATAAAGTCGCTTTGTTGAACATTTTTGGAATTACCGTGTTAATCTTTTTATTTATATATATTCTTTTGACTTTCGTATAATGTTAAAATTTCAAAAAATCTCCATATTATTATAGATTTTATTGTGCATTTCTATAAATATGTGTGTATTATTATCATTTTCATATTTGTATACTTTTAAAACTTACTTATCTACATAATTGTAGAGATAAATATCACTATATTTGATTTCGGTTCAAGGTTCTTTCGCTAAATTTATCTTAATTAATTTGTTATTCAATTATATTTAAATGCTGGAGATTGCAGAAAAGCCTGCGTAATCTCTATAAGTCGCATATCTCTGAATATGTGTGTATTCGAGTCTATCGTTGTTGATCTAAACGAGAACTTATAACATATCTCGGGCTACTATATATACTATATATACAACCAGGCGCCCAGCTGCTAAATGAGACTCTAAACATAAGATTTGGCAATAAAACAACGTACATAGACTAATGGGACTTCGGCTAACTATAGTAAGAGTATGAGGAATTCGAGGACCGTTGCTGCGTTGCGGATGCAGATGGGTTTAATGGACTAGCCACGCCCTTTACAAGTGCGCGCCCATAACGATAAGCTGCCAGTGGACACCATGAGCTTTCCTAGACATAGCGCGTAATCTGTGAATAGAAATCCGACAGACAGGACTGCAGCTGCGCAAAGGTCGGACGCTCCCCGGGCAGCAGAGCCCAGCAATACGCCATGATCGTAAACCTGCCAAGCGAGCAGAGAAGAAAGGGAAAACAGAGAAGAACGAAATAGAGAAAGAGACAAGAATAAATATCAGGTTATCCAGGACCATATGGAGCTCTCTACTTACAGCTCGTCGGGGCAATTGAATGGTTGTGCCAGGCGATAGCCATCCTTCAGATAGTGCTCCATTTCAAAGGGATCCACCTCCGCGTACGGTTGCTTGGCCGATGTGCACAGTTCCCACATGAGCACTCCGAAGGCCCAGGAATCACTTGCCTCTGAGAATTGCTTCTGCTGCAGAGCCTCCAGCGACATCCACTTGATGGGGCGATTTTCGCTGTCGCCCAAGCAATTGTAGTCCGAGGGGAAAAGATCGCGAGAAAGCGAGCTGTCTGAGAGTTTTACGCGCAGCTGATCGTCAATACTGGGAGGGGGTAAAAGATGACTCATAAAGATCGATTCCTTTAGCAAAGGCCAAGACGGCAAGCTAAGTAGTTCCGTCTGCCGAGCTTTTCAACAAGCTAGAAATCTACTCACATGCAGTTCCTGGCGGCAATGTCCTTGTGCACCACGCCATGCGTATGCAGGTGATCGAGAGCCATGGACAGCTGGGAAGCCATCATCACAATCTGAATGGTGGTAACGGTGCGGGCACAGGCGGGATCCAGAAGGAATAGCTTCAGATTGCGCGTGTTGTTCAGAGCAGGGTAGAGAACAAATGGCGTCGTGTGATCCTCAATAGATACGCCCAGAACGGAGAGTATGCCGGGATGCGAGGCGCCGTACAGCAGCATGCCCTCTTGCAGCAGAAGAAGCACCTGCATCTGGCTGGCATGCTGGGCAACCGTCTTGACTAGCACGTCCTGGCTGTCGTTGTAGGTGCCGCGATAGACACGACCAAAAGTCCCTTCCTGCAGCAGGCTGGAGAGTCGGACGCGGCAACGTTCCACCGTCAGTTCGGAAATGCGGCGATGCAGTTCTTCCGGCTGCTGTTGCTGCTCCATGGAAACGGCCACCTTTCGTGGCAGGGACGACGCGTGCACCGGCCCAATGAGCGAGGGCGTCATGTAGGCAGCGGAGCCCAAGGAGGATTGGCATGGCGGCTGCGTGTTGAGCCGCTGAAAGCTGGATGTGCGCATGGGCTGACCGCCGTGCTGATGATGCTGCCGCTTGGCAGCCGCACCGCGCACACAATACGCAATCACTAGCAGGATGCACACAGCACTCATCGCCACAGTGACGCCCACCACCAAGGTGATTAAGCCGGTGGGTGGCGGGAGCACCGTTTCCAACAAATGCGGATCATCGAGATCGTTGCCAGCCGTCTCCTGCTGCTCCTCCTCGCTCTCGCTGAGCAAACAAATCTTTTTGCGACGGAATACCAAGTGGGTCACATTATTCAGAGCCCGATTCAGTACAACTTCCAGGCTGATTGTGATGTCCACCTCCGCAGCGCGCACCCCGCTGCACTTTAGCGCCACGGCCCACGTTTGGATGTGCGTTGGAATCTCGCCAATATGCGACACATTGAGCACCGGCCGCGGCAGCACCTCCTGGTCCGAGCTGACCACATTCAGACTGTAGGGCAGCGAGCGCCCCGCCAGCGACTGCCACGTGAAGCTGACGTCCTGCACGTTGGCCGGCACCGGCACAATAAAATTCAGCGCATAGTTGTTGATGTGACCCTCGCGCACATAGTACACCTCAGCCGAAACGCCTAGAAAGATAAGCAGCAATAGACTCCGTTAGCATCGGGTATCGGGTATTCCATGCATTCCCATGCCAAATTTGTATGCTTCAGATTTTAGATTCATTCTTCTTTTCCAAAGTGTATCAAATAAAATAAGGTGGAATGTAGTCATTTAGTTTATGAATTGCCTTGAACATAAGGTTGCGGCCGATGCGACGTAACTGGAAGCTTTGCTCTTTTTTTCCTTTAGCATCCAAGATGAGCGGATTTTCATAGAGTTCTTTGAGCCAATCCAACAGTATTTAAATAACTTTTCCGAAACCGTTTTCCGCCAACTTGCAATAGTTATGGATGGAGCTCCCGTATTATTAAGTTCATATAGGACAAAACATAAAGCCAGGCTATAAAAAATACGTTTGATATGACCAGCATTTATTCCAAGGAAGAAAGGATGGGGATGCAACCTTTTTTCGTAATTTATCCACACATGCGGCTGGAATTTCCCACAGACCTAACCATAATACCAATTAATATGTAATGTCCCTATCCAAAGGTATTCCGAAGATTGCGATCTCTCTCAATTTATCACAACTTACAAACGTATTCTAATCTACACGTACCACACAAGAAGTAAACGTTACCTCGAAAAGAATTGACTCACGCGATTCGCAGAGCATAAAGAACTAGTTCATATCTGCAAAAAACCATCTGCATCACGTGCAACACCCTACAAATCTATAAAAGTAAACAAAAAACTCATGCACTCAACATGTAAATTTATCTATATGCACTCAATGCGCAGAGATTTTTACATACCAAGTTGAGATTTGTTTACTTATATATACATATAAATATAGATAGGGAGTGAGAGAGCGAGAGAGAGTTGAGTAAAAGATTCCCGGCTACGTTTTTGTAAAAATAAACATGCGCGAGTGAGTTTAGGGAATTCCTCGAAACTATTTTCGAGTTTATCAATATATATATCTGTATCTGTATCTGCAACTGCAACTGTATCGTCATTTGTATTTGTATCTGTATGTAGATCTATGTGTAACAAAAACAACTCGTGTCGCCGAGCCACGACTCAGATTCAGTTTTAACGAGAAGCAGCATCAAGCAAAAAGGTAAAAAGACAAACAGAAATGAGCCATGACCACGTCTGAGATTTGTTCTTCGTTCATTCCCGTTCTCGTTTCCAGTTTTGTTGCTCTTTTTTTTTTTTTTTTAATTTTATGTTCGGTTTGTTTGCGGTTTGACCAATGAAGCATCGAGAGATGTCTGGCAGACATCTCGCCATCTCATTTGGCTTGTTGTGGCTGTTTATGTTAATGATTATGAAAAAGTGCAGGTAGTCCCAAAAAAGATTACAAGTAGTTTATGTGATAGCAGAGGCCACACACGAGAACCACTTCTACATAAGTTGTAGTCTCCAGGCATAAGTTCTACAACAGATAAATAACGCTTCAAATGCTGGTTATATTGATGTTTGAGCTGAGGTTAAGGAACGCGTTGCATATAACCGATTTCCACTGATTTTCCATAATAACGAGTGGAACCACGGCAAACATTTCTGGGCTGTCAATCAGTCGAGTCGTACAGTTATATATCTCTATATAGATTGATTTTTTATTTTTATGTGCTTCTAAAGTTCATTATTATATCTTTATGATATATTCTTAGCCTTGTCTTTGTCACGATCTTTTATTTTACGTAATTGACAGTTTTAATTGGCTTTCATAACGTTAGCAAATTAACATTGATTTCCTTATGTGCATTTTGGTCAGAGTAAACATAACTTGC